ATTTTTCAAAGTCTAAAGGTGTTAAAAGGAGCGAGGGTCAGCTAGATCATTAATAACAAATAAAACGAAAAAGAACTTGGTGAAAATGGTATCGCTAAATCATCAAACACGAATATTGTACGCCTTTTAATATGCTGTTTTTGGTTTTGTTTGGATTTGCTTCGTTTTTTGTTTTCTTTTTTTTTCATTGACACTTACTTTAATCAATTACCGATTTTGTGGCTACCTTTGTAGTTTGAGGTTGGTTTCTTTATAAGACTTTTATCTCATGTTAAAAACGAAGACCTTCTTATGATCAGCTTACCATTTTTACAAACACCTATTACATCAGCTCCTGTTCTTCCTGTTCTTTTAAATGAAAAAAAAACCGCTGCAACTTACTTAATTTTTTACAAGAATGTACAAAAAATGAAAGACTTTCAGATCACTTCAATTTGTTTTCCTGCGTGAGAGACCTCTGCAAGCATGGAATTAAATTCTTTCCTTAGAGATCGAGGGGACTTCAATATTTTCATTCGGTGACAGACACGCCATTGGTAATTCCCTGGAGAAATCCAAGACTTTAATCTTATTGGTCAGCACTTTTACCGGAAGATCGCATTACACATCTCCATTCCTGAAAGGACTCACGATCATTTGAATGAAAAGCGAAAATATTTAAACGCTTTCTGCATTCAGTTTAGATTTAGAAAGGCTGTAGAGCGTTTTTTGCTGCTTTTGAAGCAGAGAGGGAAAAAGTATTAGCAAAAAAATAACTGTGCTTTGACCAGCTCTCAACGAATGGGAAACAGATCGATATAGTGGACAGAAAACATTCCGCGGCACTTGCAAGATTCAAAGATTGTTTGCCCTGCCTAGTAATAATGCGAGTTCATTTCGTACACCATTAAACAATTCAGCAACAACTGAAACACAAATGGATTGGCTCTTTTCATGAGGAAATGTAACACATTGTGGATCATGAAGGAAAGACGATCGAGGTGAGCGATTTCAAATTAAGCTTGTTACAACGAACAAAACAACTATAAACTGTCAACCTCGGAACCGTTGTTACAATGGAACAATTCCATGTTTCATCTCTTATAATTGCGGACAAAAATCGTTTTTTTTTTTTTGGGACAGTTATTGTAAAGTCAGCATTTTGACGTGCTAGTTGTACATTAAATCGAGCAAAGCAAGCAAGTGTTTACAAGCCAGATCAGACTGTTGCATGCAGTTTAAATTTTGTTCTGTTTATATTTTTACACACTGTAACGTCGGCACGTGAAAAATAAAGTAACGTTAAGTTCTTAATTGACTGTATTTACTGTTTTCCGTTATCGAAAGTGTCCTTTCAATGTATGTTTGTTGAAATGCATTGCTTTTGTTACTTAAGTGACTAAACGGACTAAACCAGCCGTTGGTGGTTCAACTTTGAAGCTTTTTCTGGCGCAAATCGTTCCTTTGCTTCAGGAATTTTCATGAGTTCAAATATGCCTAAAAAAGATTAAGTTCATCTTTAATAGATGAGAAGTTATAAAAAATTATGTTCTGATAGTACTATAATTCTAATGTATCTAGAAGTTAAACGGTTGCTGTCTAAAGTGTATATTGTGTGAGAGGGAGTATCACAACATTGGCACCGGGTAAGAAAACAGCCTTGTTAACTGCCAATTAACAAGTTGTAACAGGGTTGTAATGCATGAAACCTGTACCAAGGCTGTTAAAGGAATGCCACAGTGTAAAAACAGTCTTGCTAACTGTGCCAATTCACGAGCTGTGGCAGGGATGTCCATTACAGGGTGGAAACAGGGTTGTAACATGGCTGTTACAGGGTGTCTACTAAGAAATTTTGACTTAAATGTGACAGAGCTGTTCCAAGGCTGCTACAGTGTAGAAACAGCCTTGCTAACTGTGCCAAATGACGAGCTGTAACAGGGTTGTCACAGGTTAGTTTTACAACCCTGTTCCAGTGATGCTACAGAGCTGTTACAGGGTAGAAATTTTGTTAAGGAGGGTCTAAAATACAGGTAACTTTTCCACACTGTCAGAGTACAGTTCACAATGATACAGACAAATGAATAGTATTAAAAGTGTTTGCAAGCCCTAAACTCTTAACAAAATGCTCCATTAGATAGAGGGGAATCTGTGTGGTTTGGCAATTCATCTATGGAGCAGTGACATGTACCTATTACCTGGGGAATGTGACCTGTACTTTGTGAATATCTTAAACATTTTAGGAGAGATAAACATCATTTTACTTTTAAAATAACAATGCATGTGCCTCATTCTATAATCAAACTTGAAGTATTGTTTAAAAGACCAGCCTGAGTGTATTTCCAGGTTCTGATTATACATAACTGCAAATTTTTTGAACAGCGTCAAAATCTCTGATATAGATCTTGTACTAATATTTAGATCTGTTTTTTTTTTTAAATCTAAAAAATTGGATGTAAAGGTTTGCCGTACCTTTGTCAGATAGACACTCCTTAAGCATTTCTTTCTTTTTTGTTTTTGAATGTCAGTTAAAGTGACAGGAAATTATTTTTGAATTTCTCGTCATGCAATGGCTTTTAATTGTTGCGCAGTCTCTGGTAAAAGATTTACAAGAAAATCCACTACAGCTGTATTTAACCTTCTTGTCTAAATTTATTATTGTAATAGTTTTAGACAGTATGCATTTTCCATTAAGAGGACTTCATTTCCAAATGGTACTTTGGGCAATTCCACATGAGAGGTGAAAAATCAATCATTTTTAAAAGAAGGATATTGGAATTAATTTCTGTGCCATTAAAGAGAAGACACATCACTGTATTAAAAACATACATGTCATTTCTGTTTTCGCCCTTCTGCACTCCGCAGGGGGTCTACTACTCAATAGGTCATATAAACAAGGAAAACATGGGACCCACAGGTGCAAGTTAAGGAATAATTTGTCAAAATATCAAAATCAATGCAGTCCACTGAAACTGAGGTATAATTAGAGCATAAGTCTTTTTTTCACACGAGAAAAAAATTTGATGGTTTTCAATAATTTTTCCCCATTTTTGGTTAATAGAAAATATCTAAGTAGATGAGTAAATATGTCCGTAACAAAATTTCACTTCTTTCTTTGTGTCAGACAGGATTTCACTCTTTAATCAATTGAAAATAACTTCTCCTACTCCTTGGATTTGTTAGTAACATCATTTGTCTGATAAGCTTTTTATTTCTAGTAGGCTTTTTAATCATAGGAACTATTTCAAAGATAGGTAATGTCACTGTAACGTAATGTCCATAACAATACAAATCTCTAAGGCAAAAATGAAATGTAAGTATTCTTAAGTGTCTTTATACAAATATCCAAAGGTATTGAACCAAGTGACAGTTAGGGTAACAACTGAGCTCTATAATTTATCCACAATAAGTGAAATAATGCTAAAGCTAAACAAAAGTTTCAGATTTGCATAACAATTCAAACAGTGCTGAGTAATAAGAAAACGTGTTCTTCTTAAAAGACCAGAGTTGTTTTATTCACCTAAAAACTGATCACCCGTGTAGCATCTTAAGAGGCGCTGCCTGTAAGGATCGAGCAAAGTTGGAAATCGGGCCAAAAATCACAACTTTTGAAACTTTGTCAGAATAATGCTTTTGACATGCCTGATTGAATGACATAATACGTTTTCTTCAAAACTCAAAATTGTTATTTTGGGACGTGTTCACTTTGAGCGGACATTAATGGCTGTGAAAACTGGAAAAAAGCAACATTTGAAAAATCGGTTAAAAAATTCCAAAAACTATGTAGCCAGTGAAACTTAATCCATATCTTAACACGAATCTAGAGATATAAAAAAATATATATTCCATTGGGACCTGTTATGTTTTTGCCTAGAAAATGTATGTTCAAAGATGGCTCCTTTTTCCTTACACTTGTTCAACCAGGGACTATGCTATAGTTCCCGGGAAATATCTCTAGAAGTAGATGGACTTCGGAAATTTTGTTTATACTGTTTGAAAGTACTTATATTGGTGCAGTTTTTGTTATAAAAATTTCCGCGGGTAGTCATATTGTGTTGACAGGAGAACGACTCAATAATGCCGAAAATTCGAGTTTTCACGAGACGCCATTTTGGGTGACACAGACAGGGGGACTGGTTACGAGTTTTATCGTATCCAGCTACGGCAGTAAAGACACTATAAAATAACCGAACTTGGTAAGTTTAATATTTTCCGGGGGTATATCTGATTTATGACTGGTTTTGGTCATTTTAAACGCAACGAGCCATGCAAGGATGATGTTGCATTACTGATGAAAGAGTCTTTTCTTAAACTTTTCAGCAACTTTCTCACAGAAGAACTCTCTCTTTGCTTATAAATGCCCTTTCATTTAATTTGTAGGTAAATACCCCACAATTTGTTTTTCAAATTACATGTCATCGGATAATATACAGTTTTTGTTCTGGAGTGGGGGGTTAGAAATAACTGGTGACTTAAATTAAATGCGGCAAAAAAATCTTGATCCACGAGAAAAGCATAACAAATTTGGTTCCAGAGTAGGACCTTTTGGTCCTATGTTATAACCTAGAACCAACGCCCCCTACCCTCAGTCCGTAAGGCGAGGGAGTCACATTTGATAAATAAGGCCATAACTCTTGAACTCAATGGCCTAAACCGCCGTGATGAATTATTGTAACCTATATCCTTATTAGTTGTTCTTTTCTTTTTTATGTTGTACGTCATTTCCGCCTCCCCCTTTCAAACAATTTTTTTGCGACATCCTCCATCTCTATATAATATTGTAATATCCATCATAAATTCAGTAACATCTGTAAACCTACTGAAGAAGGCTGGTATGGCCCGCCGAAATATTGTTGTATAAAAACAGTACACGTTGTTAATCAGTCTTGCAGTAGTCTTTGGACTTCTCTTTTTTTTTGTTTTCAGTAATATTTTAGCTGATTAGATCTGTTTTCTAGAGATCCAACGTTAACAACCAGCGGGATCTTTGTCCACGGCTTTTGCAGTAATTATAGTTACCAGAATTACTGCTTACAGGAGCACCTTTTCAAAAATTCAATAATAGCAACAGAATAGACATTCTTCTTTCGAGCTTTAACTTTAATGGAAAAGTGACTAACTATGGAACGCATCTGAGTGATCTTGAGGCTTTCGATCTCTGACTCTGTCATCAAGCTCAGGTTTTTGCCAGAGAAAAGCAAGGGATGAGTGATTTCCTGCCGTAACACTTCCGTCACATCCGAGTGGACGGCCGCCTGCTGCCTCGCAAATTCTTCAGCCTCATCATCGGAGTCGGTGGCATCTCTTCTCTTACATGCCATCCTAGAGAAGAATGAGGTGATTTGTTGTGGACGTAGGAACTCCTTTACCGTGAAGATTCGCTTCCCGCTCTGATCTCTCAAACATCTCATCTCCTTCGAGACGTCATCTGGGTTTGCTTTAATCCCCTTGGTCTCGCCATGTTTAAACTTTTCCTCCAAGTACCTCCTTTGCTTGGAATTAAACCGATGGCGTGGCACGGCGGACTCCCGACAAGCCCATCCCTCTGGCAGACAAGGGGAACCACTCTGTATTTTTGTATCCGGTATCGTCACTTCAGGATGGCTCCCTCCAGCCTCAAGACGCTCTGCGTAACTGACCTTCGCTCGATCAATAAGTGAGACACTCTCGGTCCGACGGAATTGGTGTTTACCGTACATGAGGTGCTGCTCCAGCCGTCCGTATGTCATGTAGGACTTGGTGCATCCGTCCTCTGGGCATGGAAACAGGAGACTATCAGCTAGGTGGGTATTTGCTTGTTGGGTTATTTCAGGGGTAGAGCCCTCCTTGAGTAGGCTATCTGTATGGGATGTCGCCGGCTTTGGCTGTCTAGGTTTCACTGACACAAAGTCTCCTTTCCCTGGCCTTTCAGCTATCCATTCAAACTGGTTATCGTGTGGTATTCCTGAGAGAAAAGACCAAAATAAGCAAGTTTTTATTAATAAGGGTATAAGTTATGATATAGTGGCATGGGGTTATAGCTTTATTGTTAAGTATTACCATGCATCCCCTTTGAGAACAAATGGGTAAAGTGTGCGTGCTATGAAACCAGTATAATATAGCGGACTGAGATCCATTTTAACACGAACGCGAGTAATTTTCCTTTACCACCTCTTGGTTGAACATACCTGAAAATGACGTCCAGGATCGGAAATTCCCTGCACCAATACCGTACGCCTTGAAGGCCTTTACACCCGCTGGCGTGATCTCGAAGTTGGACAAACTACTGATGCCTTCCCACTTGATACTCTTTGTTTTCACTGTGGTCTTGGGAACAGGAACAAACGCAACTCGCACACCCGCAATGCCCTCATCGGACTCTATAGCCTTCTTAAGGTCAGCAGGTGTTGTGACGGAGTGACCTTGGTTGATGTATTGCTTCACGTGCGTCTTGATTTGCGCTGCTTTCCTATCGCATGGACCTTTACCACCTTGTGGATCACTGAAATCAATCCGGTAGAGATCCATGTTGGTTCTCTCTCGCAGTATTTTGCTGGCTAGAATGGTATTTGCGCAGTGATAGCAGCCTGCGTTGTCTTGGCGGTAGACAGCTCTGGTTAACTCGGAGTGTTCCTGCTTCAAGGTTTTCAGTACATGCTCCATCACGGTTACTACTGTGTGGCTGTCCTGTAGACCCGACTCAATTATGTGCACAAACGTCTGCGCGACCAGCTCCCCTCGCTGTTTGCTCTGACAAACTGTCAAGTGCCAAGAGATACCTCTCTTACCAAAGAAATCAGCCTGCGTTTCCCTGTACTGGGTGGGTAAGAACTTCATGGCGAAATCCTGTGTGATCAGCACCGAGTCCTCCTGAAGACTATCAATGATATCTGTTCTGGCTGTATCCTGGTGAACCATGCGCAGCTGGTGAGCCTTCCAGGAACGTACTCCGTCACCTGCGGTTCTTGCATTAAATAGGAGGTCATCCTGAAGGTCCTGCGGGAGGTTGGTTGACTGGATAAAGGACAAAACTGAGTCTAAAGACTAAAAGAGATATAAGATATAATTAGATAGAATTATCTTGCCCTAGGCCGGGTTTACTTATTATTGGCTACATACAGTCTTCAAGGTCTCGCAGCTCTCACAACGTTGATTATGTTGGTGATCACAGTGGTGGCGATTGCTCTCCCTTTTAGCATCACTGAGTGCAAATACTCTGCAGTGGTCAGGAATAGTACTAGCCAAGGAGCAGTGGATCTGTGAACGAGACAATCATGCTGTTACACCTTCGCACGATGAAAATGCATGTGCAGACTCTATATAGGCACTAATCATTTACCTTGTAATCACTTTTGATGTACTGTTTTAGGTATCTAAAGTTGTCCTTGAGTTCTGCAATTACAGCCTCATTAGCCCCATATTTCACCAGGGTGTCAAGGAGCGATAATAGATCATCAAATCCGCGCCCGCCTTCTGCCGCGTGGCTGTCTAGCCCCTGTAAACTCTTTTGAACTGACGCCACGCATGCCTCAGACAAAATTCTAAACAGCGTACGGCTCGAGAGTGGAGCGTAATTCACTTCACTGCAATATTGATTATATTGCTTGATCAGACGAGATGGCAACACTGTCCTTATTACATTGGGAATGTCGATCTGTGTGCGGCTGCTTAATGTCAGGGTTTTCCGACCAAATGGGAGGTCCTGGACGATTGTAGAAGACGTGATAAAGTCCAGAAAGTGATCTATTTTGGCAGGGTCCACTTTTTGTCTTATCTGTTTGGCCTCCGACTGTACAGTAAGTCCTGCGCCTACCTCAAGCGTGTATCGTCTTGCCGCCGTGAACTCATATCTTGTTAGTCGAGGTATGTGTGCTACCAGTTCTGCATAGGTCACTTTACTGGCCACGAGACTTAATAGTTGACGCCTTGTCTCGGATGTGTCCGCTTGCTTGTAAGACTCCACTACAGCTAATAGTAGATCACTGCCATTATGCACAGACCCAAGGAGGTGGCTAACTTCGTTCTTTCCTCTCACTGCCTCCCACAATTCTGGAGCGGACTGCGGCGCTACGGTTTTTAAGACCTCTGAGATAATTGTACTAGCTTTACGGATGTAGCATTCACGTGTTTTCGAAGTGGCATCAGTCCATGGACGCTTCATAGTAGACCCAAGAGGCCCAATACTGCACTCATCCACAAACCATTGCAATGCGGCTACCTTACCTTCGTCAGTGTTATCTGGAGGTTTAAGGTATTGCGCACACGTGACTTGGCTGATGCTGTCATCAAGTGTTGATGTTGTGGACTGCGTCTCCTCCTGGGACGAGGAAGGCTGGAATAGACTGCTGTCAGGGCTAAAGACCAAAGGCTCAAGATCTCGTGAAATCTTTTCTACTCCCTCTTCTTGATTAAATCCTGGGAAGCTTACCTTACTGGCTCTAGAAACGCCCTCAGTGGCCTACGTTAAAAATGAAAACATAATGTAAACTCACACAAGTGCTAGCAGACAATGGCATAACAACCTCTTCCGTGGGTTATACGACAACTGTCTTCATTCGGCATTCTTTACAAAGTTTGGATGTCGTTTTGCAGGCCCTTCTTTAAGAGTAAAGCTATTACCTCTTATTTCTTTCTCTCTTGAAACGTGTAATGTCTTTATAAATAATTTTTACTATTGTTTATATTGTTATCATCATTAGTACCATTATCATAATCACTATCATTATAACTATTCTTTCACAAAATTGGCCAGGGCGATGCCCTCTCTCGTTTTTTTCTGCCCTGTCCCTTGATTTGTCCACGCCTAACGCAACGACTGGGTACGAGTCTGCCCCATTACTAGCTTATCGCCACAGGCTACCCAACACAATAGTTGCCTGCGGCTCTATAGGTGTTGAGGAGAGGACAAAAAACGAAAAAAGAAGGATCAGTCGGCTTAACAGCCATAAGGAAACAACTATAGTCATTACGTTCACTATTTTCCCTCACCTCTTGTGAATTCTATTGATGTGTTGTAATGCTTGTTTTCAGCTTTTCACGACACTGCCGACAGATTGCTTAAGGAAAGATAACATTCGAGAAGGGCTTTGTTAGTGAATACGGTAGTTAGTGCAACATTTCTAATAAAGAAAAATAATACAGTTGAATACCTGAGCCGATGGGTATAAGTGATCCAGTCCTGTTGAAGATTTCCTCTGACAGCTTCCTACTGATAGTGCGATCACCCGTGTGATTTTTTGAGCGGTGAGATGCGACCCCCTCCGGTACCTGGCAAATCTTCTTACGCCCTCTCCATTTTATACCAAAGGTATCTCGATGTTTCGGACACACCATGAAGTCTACTTCAGCGGTTCCCGAAAATACTCCTAATACAAATTTAAGTCGACCATGAACATCCCTTCAATGACAGATGTAAGGGATATCAAAATGTTCTCACCTGCTCTCAGTAAAATCAACTCTTTCTCAGACAACACGTCCTCTCCACGCATTTTCAACATTTCCAAGTGACCCGTAATATCTCGCTGACAATCACTTAACGCTTGATATTCGTTAATTACTGTATCCTTCACAGTAACTGAACCGCACTCTGTACCAGATAGCTTTCCAATCCCGCATTTATACATTTTTTGCACTTTTACGAACAGAGATCTCTGCGATTCACTTGTTTTAAGTTAGCGTGATAGTGGGAATGTTTGTAAGCGCCGCCTCAAACTTTCCAGCTACGTCTGGCGATCTTTTAGCAGATAAGTCTTCGCAGATGATTGGCAGGTGGACAGGAGAGTTTTTCGCGTCAATAAATATAATGGCTTGAATTCTAAACTGTCCTCCAGGAAAACAAGGGTTTCGAAAGAACATGATATTATGAAATAGTATCCGGTAAAGTGTTTCCCGGGGAAGTTACGAACAAGTAGAATCTAGATTGTTTGATGCACCTGTAACTAATCAAGCGTGACAAATGCTTATTGAATTACAGCGCTAAACTTTGCGGGTACTTTCCCACGCATGCAAAGTGAGGCAACCTTAAAAATCTGTCGAAAAGACTGGAGTCCGAATTCAAAGATTTCCCTCTAGATTAAGATGAAGCTAACATACAGAAATGAAATGATGTGCCAAGTGAAATTTCTTAAATGTAAATACTCTCACGTGACATGCAAACATCTTTTCCCATACAGGATGTCACAGTGAATTTTCCAAGACGACTATAACGAGGCAAATGTTAAAGCTACACTCTTGACATACAATTTAAAGCGGTCGATTAGACCTTCATACAACTACAGGCCATTCACCATCAATGATCGAAAAAATTCATGAAAGTTTTTATTGGATTGGAATTGGATTGGATTGGAAACCGCCGCCTGGTTAGCTCAGTTGGGAGAGCACCGGTCTGTTGAGCGGGAGGTCGCGGGTTCAAGCCCCGGCCGGACCAACACTCAGGGTCTTAACAATAACTGAGAAGAAAGTGCTGCCTTTGTAATGACATCTGCAAATGGTTAGACTTTCTAGTCTTCTCGGATAAGGACGAAAAACCGTAGGCCCCGTCTCACAATCCTTGCCTATATTAATACTGTGGGACGTTAAAGAACCCACACACTGTTCGTAAAGAGTAGGGGTCGTAGACCCCGGTGTTGTGGTCAACCTTGATATACGGATCCTTCGCGTGATGCTGTACAGGCTTTGCGAAGTAATATAGTAGAAGTAGAAGTAGAAGTAGAAGTAGATTAAAGAAAAGTTGCTCGTGTGTTTGACAAGATGCGAAGGTTTTAAGCTGCACCAGCGTAGCAAGGAACGCAGCGGGTAAATCTATCAGACTTGACGCACTAGCAGGGCAACAAAAACAATGTACATATTGGTTAGGAAATAAAAACAAATAAACAAAGCAGTTTTTGTCAAATTGCATAGTTTATTACCAGCTTTTGTATTTTCGTCACACCAACCCTCGCGACAGACGTTCAGAGAGCGTCTCAAAATAAGTCGAATTTTGGGCACTTTTGAGGCGCTCTCCTGGAAACACACAGAGACTGCCCGCGGAACTTTTTATATCAAAAACTTCACCAGCATAACGCCTTCCAAAAGGTATAAAAAAATTGCTCAATCTCAGTCTACTACTCGAGATATACCTCGGGATATGCAGCATAGCCCATGACTGTACGAGTATTGAGAAAAAGAGAGTCGTCTTTCAACATGATTTTGTTGGGAAAAACATTATTGATCTGAACAATATATACATAGATGAAATTGATAGATCACTTCTAACAACTGAATTAAGTTTCATTGGCTACAAAGGTTTTGGAAATTTTTTACGGATTTTTCAAATTTTGATTTTTTTCCGCTTTTTAAGCAAAAAATGACTCCTAAAAGTAAACACGTCTCTAAAGGAAAATATTCAGTTTAAGACAAAACAAATTATGCCAATGAATCAGGCATATGATAGACTTTATTCTAACAAAGTTTCAAAATTTACGATTTTTGGGCCAATTTCCAACTTTGCTCGATCCTTACAGGCAACGCCTCTTAATGAGACTTTCTTTGCTTTTTAATTTCTTTAAACCTATGTATTAACCTTCTTGTCTAAATTTATTATCTAAATGTAATAGTTTTAGACAGTATGCATATTTTCCACTAAGAGGACTTCATTTTCAAATGGTACTTTACACTCTTACTAAAAGTGAATTACCTGGACCTGTATGTCAAAAATGTCAATTAAATCTTGCTAATCTTCCTCGAAGACACTACTTCTAATGACTTCAGAAATGTCTTTCCAGTCAGTGTAAACCTGCAATCAAAATGAATAATTATATGAAAAGCCCAAATTACAATCTGAAATGAGGTGTTTTAAGTTAAGGGGAAACTGCCTATCTAAGTTTTTTTTTATAAGAGCATGCAGTGACCTTCCCTTGTGACCTGTGTTTTGTAACTGCCACTTGTTAAAGTTAAGAATTTTGTTCAAAAAAGCAAACTCAGCTTGACTAGTTTTAACTTAACGTGTCTGGATTTTGCCCCATATCTTACTTCTCATAAAACTGTCCAATGTGTCTTCCAATTAAATAAAAAAAGACTTGATTATTTGATTACCTTTAAAAAAAATTGGTAGAACACTTCTGCTGCATAATCAGATAGTTGAGAAAGATCAGCATTGTCCACCTTCTGCCTTAATTTTCTTTCCTCGTTTCCCTTTAGCAACCGACCCACCAACACACTTCTCTGACAGCTCCACATATCTTTCCTCGATTTCACGTAGCTTACCCTGCCAGAATTCCAGTCTTCTTTGAACTTCTTTTCCAGCTTCTAAGGAAAACAGGTTAGGTAGTCACATCACGAAGTGTAAGGGGGTATTCTTTTTAAGGGAGGACTGTTATGCAAGAACACAAACCACTGGGTGTGCAGTACATGCTAACGAACATTCACTCAGTTGGGATGCAGTAATCTGATGCAATAATGATGTACCCTTGATACACAATGGTCACGTCATGGGGTTGTATTAATACTAACAGTGCTAGCTAGCCTATCACAACTTCCAGTGTAGATGGACGTAAATGCAGTTATTAATTCAAACTGTCTGGTTTATCACAGTCAAAGGGAAGGAGAGGTTTTAAATAACGGTATAATGATTGTAACATGTACCTGAACCTGTGAGGGTAATAGTCTCCTGCTCTGAACCAAAGTCTCTGGTGAATGTCTGAAATAGCCATGTCCTGATAGTACTAAAACAAATTATTAAAAATTCATTGAATACCTTAAACAGAAACCATTTTTTCAGTGCAGGTTTCTACATACTACACACAAAAAATTATTGTGTGTTGCACTGGTTTAAGTGAAACATTCAAATCATGTGATATCCTGAGCCATATACCTTGATTCTATCATTACAAAATGTGACTTTATTCAGGAGCAAGTCTTTAACACTTTCTGGGTCAGCAAAATACGACTTCAATAATTTGTCATGAGGCAAGGAGTTCCTGACAATTGCTTCAATGTTTGTGAGGAACTCACATTCAGTAGAACCTTCAGGAAAAATAGTACAGAAAGAAACAAACAGGATTTAAATTCACAACTTAGTGACATCTTCATTACAAACCAGTGTTACAGTTTACATATTAAGGATCAAGGTATTGTACAAATGAGCCGCTGCTACAGCACGGAAGTAAAAGCCCTGAAGTGGAT